TAGTGCCCACGTTGTGACCACGGCCCTCAGGAACCAAGAATCAACAACGCCACTTCCAAATTTTTGACATTTAATATAGGTTACACTTTTGGTATAGTTCTCGTGCATGCTGTACAAGCCGGGAAACTGAACTAGAAGACACAGAAGTGTAGCCGATCCGCAGGTTGCTGGGGTCGGATTCTGCCGCGGTAGGTAAAGTCTTATCGAGCACAGTGGGCATCGCGTTCCGCGCGATGAAAACGCTGCTCTGCTTACTCTCATATGAGTACCTATGACGCCACCGACTCACCCACCCGAGCCTTCCTCCGGGAGACCAAATTTGAGCGTGTCCAGAGAGAGAGCAGCTGAAGGTTCGTGGTGATGACCGGCATGAACGCGAGGCTGCCATGAATACACTCGTGTCCGTGCCGCCAAATGCGTGCTTGCCACCCCGGTCGAGTGGCGTCCCAAACGCGGCAGCCGCCCATCACCGCGAGTGACTGGAGACCGACCAGCTGCGAGCTCTCGATGTGAAGCCCACCGCGAAGCCTGCCGTACGTGTAAGTTAACATGGTCTCGGCAGTCAACTTGTGCTCACTTATATTGTTAACTAGCCGCTTTGATGCCGTAAGCCATGATTTGTTACGTTCATACAATCAGCTTCTTACTGCCTTTCACATTGTCCAGGGCGCCCGCGCTGGGTTTCCACTCTCTCCCCCTTTTTGCGCGATTTACATCGCCCAGGGCGGTTCCGCTTTTCTCGAATCTAGTGAGAATCTGTTGCTAATATGACATGCATTCTCAGTACAGTTTTTCCTCTGTTCGCGTATTCTACAAACGTCCGGTAACGAATTATGAGACAACAGGAGCAAAGCCAACGCGCAAGTTACCAAAGTCAAATTCTGTGAGGACGACCTATGAGCAAATGTACCGTACAAATATGTAACGCTTTACTCACCGGTGTAGAGGTTGCGCAGGAAGACGTCTCCGAGAATCCAGAAGCCTGCGACGCAGTGAGCACCATATCCTAACACTGACAAGAAGACTGCTTTACTTACCCTCATCAGCACCCATGATCCCTGCAACGCACTGGCTCGAGCCTTCCTCGAGCTGGCCAAAGTTGAGCGTGTCAGCCGAGAGGGTGAACGCCTTGCCTGCGACAGTGAAGGAGACGTCGCTCGGGATCTCGTCACAGGGGATTGTGAAGAATCCCTCGCCAAGCGTCCTCTCAGCATTCTCCGCACCGGGAATCGCGGCGAAAATCTCGTTGGCGCTGTTCGGGTCGACGATGAGGAGAGTCGTGCCAGTATCGACGATCGCGTCCTGAGCTTCCGTGACGACGCGACGGCTACCAACGCTCACGCCTGAAGCGGTGATTTCCCAGAATGCAGGTGGGTCCGTGACTATGAGATTGGCGAACGCGAGGCTGCCTGTGAATGCGGTCGTATCTGTGCCACCGAGGAACAGCTCGCCGCCGTTGTCGAGGAGCGTGACGCCGAACACGGACTCGGTGGTCTGGCCCTGGGTCACGAGCGTCTGAAACACTGGTGAGTCTCCCGTGCTCGCGATTGACTCGAATGCCAGCCCGAGCAGGCCATCCGGCGGAGAGTTTGCGATTGCGAAGCCTGACGAATACTGTGTCGCAGCGACAACGGCCTGCTTCGTCGCCGTCAGGCCCGCGAGGTTCACCGTGTCTGTGAAGATCTCGCCTGAGACAGTCGAATCATCGGCGAACTCGATCTCGAAGGTTTTGTGCTGGTCGACGGCAGTGCTGCTCTGTCCAGTCTCAAAGACCTTGTGCCCCTCGCAGTTCTCTGTGCAGTCAGGACCCGGTAGGAAGAAGTCGCTCGAGCCAGTATCGAAGTCGACTGCGAAAATAGATGAGCTCTATGGCCAACGCAAGCTAATCAGTTTCGACCTACCAGTGAATGCACTAAGAGGTGTGCCAACAGAGACGCCGCCCTGCCAGAGGTCGCCGTCAAGATCGTCAGTCAGCGGGTCTTTGCCCGTCGCACGCTTCACATAGTTGCGCTTGACGGGTGCTGGGCGGACCCCATTGTCGTTCGGGTGGACTTTTCCGGTGTTCGCTTTGAAGGCGTTGAAGCCACGCGCGACCTTGCTGCAATGCAAATTTTAGCCTCTGTGCAGTTGTCCTATATGACATTCTTAACACTCACGCTTGCACCTCTGCAACATGCGTCTTCAGTGCCTCAATGTCGACGACGCCGTTTTCATTTTGGAACGAGCGCTTGCGCGCGAAGGGCACCCTGGCGGGCTCTGCGGGCGCGGGTGACGCCATGGCCAAGAGCGGGACCAGAGCGAGAAGGGCAATGGAGAGCTTGGTCTGCATGCTGGGCTGGACAGGCTATCTGCGAGGCAGCTTGCTGGCTCTTTTGCTCCCCAAATGCACGCGCTATTTATGCATGTAGAGGATCTGGAGAGCAGGCTCTCATGGTGCAGCCGCTGCAGCGTGGTGCATCTTGGGAGAATCCGTCAGCTTTGCGCGCTGGCTGTGCATCGGTGAGAAAGATGGGCGTGCAAGGACTGAGAATAACCCGCGTTACCAGCCCGGTTTTCCTGCGTTTGGTCGGAGTGTATGTGAGAAGCTCTCGCTGCGGTGCCTATCTCGGATTCTACCATACATGCATGGAGATCTTGCAGAGTGCACAGCTTGATGTACGTCGACTTGAGGCTCGAGGGCGCCCACGGTAATCTCCTCTGGAGGTAAACTAGGCAAGAGCCCACCGACGATGGGCGAGACACGTGCTTCCTGCGTGAACAAACAGACAAATTCCCCATGCACACCTGTGGAACCGTTATAGAACATGTGCCGGTGGGAGTAGAACCCTGCTCATGATTCACATAACGCGGGATACAAGAAAACTCCTTTCCGGCAGGCTTCGCATGATGTCAACTAAGAGTTTGTAGGCCATGAGGTACTCACGATAATCTCATAAATGATCATTACCTGCTCCATAGAACGACATGGGAGTGAGCCTGGCAAATAACTTGATTGTAAGCTGGCCGACTTCGGATATACCTCACGCCGAAACGGCTGCTTACGACTCTTATGCAGCGGAAATGACAGGATAACTAAACTTTGTTATAAGCGTACGCTCCACTTCTTATCCCCGTTCTTATGAATGTTACCCGAGACGCCAGTGCTTGCATCCTCTACTTGCACGGCGTACAACTCTCTAGGTTCACACAGTCTCAGTAAAAATTGATACTGCTAGAAGTAGCTCCACTTCTCTCGAATCCGACGGAGAATCTACTCCCACCGTAATTTTGGTCCAACCTTGTCTATTCACATATTGTACAAATATCCACAACGGATTATCGAGCCACCAAGGCAAAGCCAACTCGTAGATTGCCAAAAATATTCTCTGTGCAGTCAGGACCCGGCAGGAAGAAGTCGCTCGTGCCAGAATCTAACCCGACTGCCAGAGTAAGAGAGCTCTACGACCAACGCATGAAAA